GCCACTCCTCCCAGCTTGGTGTCAGCAGCAATGTGTCATCAGCAATCACGTGTGTGTAGCACAGCCTGGAAAGTGTTTTAGAAATAAAAGAATGATTTTACCACTTCCTAATTTAAAATAATTTGTTGATAAGTAAAAAATCGTGACCTTCTTTGCAGCCCTGATAATTTGCTTGGTAAAATTTATGAGGTGATTAACTTGTTATAGTTTTGTCTGTCTGATGGAAATACTTTCTCCAACTGTAAAGTATAATCTAAGGCTGATTGAGGGCAACTAGGTTATTTATCCTGATGTCAGGGCTCTTTGTTCTGTTCCATCCAAGTATGGTGGTCTTTGAAACCACTCCTCTGCAGATTCACTGTCTGATCTGCCATCTACAGAAGTGTTTGCTTCCAGAAAGCTGATTAGAACCAGTGTAATTCCTCAAAATGATGATTTCAGTTAGATTAGTGCTCTTACAAGACACAGCAAATCAGAAAGGGAATTTGGAAAAGTAAATAATAATGGGCACAAGAACAGAACCACGTCAGAAGGGTTATTTACCAGAGACACAAATCTGACCACGGCCTTGCTTAGCTGACAGTACTTACACTCATAGACACGCACACACAGAGCAGCTGAAATTTTTTAATATACAGAACACACTTTAAAAGCCAACATTTTGTCAGCAATTTATCTGGTTTAGTCCTATTGAATTATATCAAACATAACTGATCCAATCTGATTTCTTTTCTCTTCCTAACGAATTTTGCTTTCTTTCCACTTGAGTTTTGTGTTAATAAAGTTTGTAGAAGAGAGCTGAAAGATTAAACCCTAACGAAAGAAACCTGCAAGCTGTGGTTTTGCCTACCAGAAAAAGAAAGAAATGGGGAAATTTGAATCTTTTCAAGTTTCTTTTTAATCTTTTTCCTTAGTTTGAAAGAATTCCAGAAAGGATCTCTCTAAGAGCTTTGGGTATTTGCAAGCAGTTTGATGAATGCAGCACTAATACATTCAAAGCTTTACACCACATAATTATAACAGAAGCTTAATAAGCTTTTCCAGCAGAAATTCAGAATCTCTTTTTTTTTTTCCTCCTAACCAACTCATTTGGGAGATAAAAATGGATGTTAGAATGATGGGAAGAGACCCTCCCAGTGTAATTTATTGTATATATTGGCTTTCTGAAAAGTAGCTTGATGTTCCTCATGGCTTATTTAAGGAGCAGTAATAATGAAGTGGGCAATGGGAAGCTAAGAATCCATATTTAAGGCAGTAAAGCATTTTGATGCTAAAAGCACTTGTTTGGGTGTGTACTGTATTTATTGATGATTTAATTACGATTGCACTCGGTACTTAAACGTCTCTTGATTTGTTTCTCCAGCCAGGGGTGAACAGTATGGATGCACAAGTAGGTAAGTGAAAACAATTTGTTACTGTTTCAAAATATTTCACCAAAAATTGGGTGAAGTATTTTTAAAAATAAAATTATACTTTTCTGTAAAATGTGATTTAGCATTTCAATAACAGACATCTTCATTGATTTCTATAAACATTTTTTCTTTCAAAAATTGATTAATTACAGTCCTTATATAGAAAAATAAAGCAAACAAACACTTTTTACAGTTTATTTATTTAATTTTTTTTTAGGTGTAACGCCTCCTGGAACTCAGGTGTGTGAAAACCAAACTTCTAGGAGATTGTAAGGGCAGTGTGATGTTGTGTATATGTGGCTTTACAAGTTTAAAGGAAAACCTTGTACCTTATTTGGCTTCTCATGTGGAGCTTCTTTGCTTATTTGGCTGTCAGTCCATAATTCATTTTAAAATTGATAGCCCCAAGTAAGTTTCTGGTTATTTGACAAGTTCAGGGGGTTTTCATGGTGTTCCTGTGTGAGTGTAGTGTTTCCTTATTTACATTGAGCTTGAACTAAAGTAGATGTGCTCTCTGCTGTATCTCCACTGATTTCTGAGCATTGAGGTCTGTTTCTAGTTCTTTTAGGACAGCAATATGAGATGCTTCCTGTGATGTTTTTAGGTCTTTTTGTCCTACCTGAGCAGCAGGTGAATTGCAGCCTAGATACCTGGGTTACTTTAAAGCTAACAATACCAGAACCTTGACCTGGTTCTCTTGCTAAGCACAGGTGTGTTAAGGAACAGAAGGGAAGACTTAAATCACCTACTGTCAAATTCTGCCTTACATATCAGAACTGCCAAAGCAAAACATTAATTAATATTTAACAGGCAAAAAGTCACCCCAATGGAAGTAAAGTAAAAATCTTATAAACTGGTCACTGATAGGGGAAGGAAAAGAGGGGGGGAAAAAAAAGATGAAAAACACAGAAAGAGGAACAACCTTCAGTCTTCAGTGCTAATAAAACCCCAGCTCTACCCTGAGTAACTGTCCAGCCCAACACTTGCAAAGATTGAAATCATAGAATCATAGAATCATGGAGTGGTTTGGGTTGGGAGGGACCTTAAAGCTCATCCAGTCCCAACCCCCCTGCCAGCAGCCGGGACACCTTCCACTAGACCAGGTTGCTCAAAGCCTCATCCAGCCTGGCCTTCAACACTTCCAGGGAGGAGCAGCCACAGCTTCTCTGGACAACCTGTTCCAGTGTCTGACCACCCTCACAGTGAAGAACTTCTTCCTAATATCTCATCTAAACCTCCCCTCTTTCAGCTTAAACCCATTTCCCCTTGTTCTGTCACTAACTGCCCTTAGGAAAAGTCCCTCCCCAATGAAGCAGATTTTTCCCTTAGTTTTGAAAACACACGATGTGCTTCTGGGACTCTCACTCGAAGTTGTTTTGATCTGGTCATGTTCACTTTTGCTTTCTTTTCTGATTGTAGTTGGCTGCCTTGGGTTGCTGAAGGGGATGGGGGTGTGAGAGGCTCCTAATAGCTCTTGTCACAAAGAAGTCGTTTCTTGACAACAACACTGAAATGTGTTTAGATTTTGGCTTGCTGCTTGCTTTCCTTTGCTGCTGAATTACTGAGTTTATGTAATATGCACATTGAAATGAAAAAAACCTCACAAATATTAACCAGAATGTCTTTTCAGAGCTCTGTTTTATTTCGCCCTCAGACAACACATCCCGTAGTTTGCACAGCCCAGCAAACCGCCGCAACCAACAGTTCTGTTAGTGAAGACCACTCTAAACAGGTTTACCTGGTTTCCACTTGTATTTCACTTTTAATTGGCTTTTGATAGCATCTCACTCAGCAATTATTGTTCATCATTAATGGTGTCTTGTATTTTTCCTAGAAATCTACGTGGACAGAACACAAATCACCTGATGGAAGAACGTATTACTATAATACTGAAACGAAGCAGTCTACATGGGAGAAGCCAGATGATCTCAAAACCCCTGCTGAGGTAACTACACTCAGGTGAACTAAATACAGATTCACACTGTACTGTGTGAGTTTGTGTGAAGGCAAGGATTTACTAGCATAACTGTCGTGTAATAGCTGTGATAATAGGGTTTGTTGGCTTTTTTTTTCCCAATGGGAGCAAACTCTTACAGTAAGAAATGTTGCAAAATATTTCTGTCATGCTCCTTATGTTGGAAGAACTTTAGGCTGCAAAATGGACAAAACTCTCGACACTTTTCCTCAATTTTTAGATAAATATTCCTTATTAAAAATATGTCATTCTTTAGATAAATAATTTTGTTTATCACTAAGGAGGATTTTCCTTGGGAAGTGTATGCCTTCAATTAACTCCTTCTGAAGTTACTTCTTGGTGTAGCATTTGTGGCTCACTTCTAGCTATCCTTTTAATTTTAAAACACCATTGTAAGTTTGATTTGATGTTTTTGTTTTCTGTCCATTAGCAATTGTTGTCTAAATGTCCCTGGAAAGAGTATAAATCCGATTCTGGAAAGCCCTACTATTATAATTCCCAAACAAAGGAATCACGCTGGGCAAAACCCAAAGAACTTGAGGACCTTGAAGGTAACGTTACCAAAAACCAGCAGGGAGGGTGGCAGCGAGTTGCAAGCTGTGCATATGTGTGGCTTTTGGCAAAAATTTGGTATCAAAGCATAGTAGTCAAACTTCAGTTAGAATTAAATCCACTGAAATAAGGTGTATGGAGTAGAGTTAATGTCACCTGAGACTGTGCAGGAGCAGTCTTGTCTCTCGTGTCCTCACCACCCTTTTATCCATGATACCCTGAATTCTTCCCTATTTGTGTGGCAGCAGCAGCATCAGCTCCACCTCGTGTCCCTGAGCAGGAACTGAATGAGGATGGAACGTGCTCTGTGCAAGTTCTCTGTTAGCAGTAGGTAATGCTGCAGGAGGCAGCTGCTTCATTTTAGGGCTGTTGTAGGATTTGGCTCTTGCTTAGCCACCAATCCTTTGGAAACCTCTAGGAGTTTAGGATTTGTGGAGTGGTTCAGGTTGATGGGGGAAGAGGAGAAGCAGAGGGGGGGGCTGTAATAATCCTGATTCATTTGGGAAACCGGGATAAAAGGGTGCTGGACTTCTGTAATGCACTGTAGCCTATAACTGACTAAGAATTACATTTTATTTCAGTGTCTTGAAATAATTTTGAAAACAATAATGTATTTTAGACATTATACAGTACTGGCTGGCTGCTGAAAACCAAAATCATGTGTAAGGCCACCACAATGGTACCAATTTGCCTTTAATTTTTGCCAATTTGCCTTTAATTTTTGCCAAAAATTAAGCCAAAATCATGTGTAAGGCTTTGCTTAGGTACCAATTCGCCTTTAATTTTTGCCAAAAATTATTTTGAGAAAGGCAAATTGGCAAATTTGCCTTTAATTTGGTACCAATTTGCCTTTAATTTTTGCCAAAAATTATTTTGAGAAACTATGATGTGACAAAAATCTTAGTAATTTTTTTTTATTGCCCTTCTGAACTATAAAGGCAGTGTCCCCTTGTGTGCAAACGTCATATGACGCTGTGCTCCTGTTTTTCACTTCTAGCATGGTTTTGTTTGGTATTGTAAGGTGATGAAAAAAATCTACAAAGTCAGCTGGGGTAAGAAATGAGTGTTTAAAAAAAGTACTACAAAAGAATGAGCATCAGTGACTGTTAGAATAAAAAAAGAAGGAAAGATCTGTTTCAGTAAGCCTGACTTTCTGTTCTTTAAACTCTTTTGAAGTTGAAATAATTATTTTAAACCAAGCAGTTGTTCTGTATATGCCCTAATCTTTCTTTAATTAAATTCCTAAATTTTGTTTTAGTCTGAATTGATTTCAGTCTTTAAAGGGCACAATTATTAAAATTATTGATAGTAACAAAAATATTTAAAACTGTACTTTTATTAAATCATGTTAACAGTAACTTTTTACCTTGCATATAGAAACTATTTTTGAAGCTATATTTTGATTGTTTTTCCCCTTTCTCCCCAGCAATGATCAAAGCTGAAGAAAACAGGTATGTTTTAAATGTTTTAAATGTTTTTAATGCTTTTTATGTTAAGCTGCCTATTCTTAAAAATGGAATCTAGTCCTTGAATCTTGAAACATTCTCCTTGCAGCTTTTCTTTCCAAATAGTGGCTTAATATATAATTACTTAATTACTCAAATTAAGTAATCTAGGTTTCTTTTTAATTGAAATGTTTGATCCATCTAGTCCTTGAATCTTGAAACGTTCTCCTTGCAGCTTTTCTTTCCAAATAGTGGCTTAATATATAAAAACTCAAATTAAGTAATCTAGGTTTCTTTTTAGCTGAAATGTTTGACCCACACAGATACCCAGTTCCAGTAAAGCATTTACTTTCTCTGAGCTGAGATTGTTTTGTGTTCTTCTGAGAAATCTTTGTAATTAGACCTAAAACTCTCATTTCATGCTTTATTAATTTGATGAACTTACTTAACCTATGCGTTTCCCTAAACCATTAAGTTGTCCCATGCTCATATGTGAGTGTTCTTGGGGTTTTTTTTGATACCTTATAGCACAAAGCCTGAAGAATCTACTCCAGCGACATCTGCTCCAGCTGCTGCAGCAGAAGCAACAAACACAACCACCACAGCTGCTGCTGACGCTGCCGCAGCTGTTACTGCCACCACAGCTACTTCTGCAGGGGCAGCAGCCCCTGAAGCAGAATCAACTGCAGCTTCTTCTGTGGTAGAAAACGAGAGCACTGGCACAACCTCAGCTGAGGAACAGGGACAAGCAACTGCTGCACCTGCTGCTCAGGAGCAGAGTGGAGAGACTGCAGTTAGCACAGATGACTCTTCCAAGCAGGACGCCTCAGCAGAGTAAGTGAAATTACAGAGCACGTGGCTTTGGTGCAGTTTTGTATTTCTTCTAGGAGCTGGTTTATCCTCAGTTGTCAGTGGCCAGGCTGCTTTGATGGTTAGCTCTTTCTTCAGTGAGACCTGAGCATGAATCAGTGGCAGCAGAGAAGAAGAACGAGTAAGAAAGGGAGGAAGAAATATTAAATCTATTTTTAGAAAAATGAACACCCTTCCCTTGCCAGCACTCTCCCAAAGCTCTTAAACCCCACAGAGAACACCAGTGGCCTGAATATTTCATAAATTTTCAATAGCTGTAAGTTTCCTGGGGTAACATTATATGCTTACCCTGTATGTTTCCTCTTCTATACATCTGTGCAATTTGCTATCATTACAAGAAAATGCAGTGCTAAATAGATCTTTATCTGCTCCGCTGGAAATGAGAGCCTTTGGCTTTTAATAATGGAGATATTCTGTGGAGAATTACAGCTTATGATTTTTCATTCAAACAAAAAAGAAACACTCTGTGGGGAGAGATAATTTAAGGGCAAGAGGCATATTTTTAGGCACTCCCTTTTATATTTTTATGTAATGTCTATCTAAATATTCCTGCTAAATTTCAGCGTTGTATTTTTATGATCATTTCTAGATAAATTGAGCAGGTAGCCAATTGCATAAGTGATAATACTTTTCTGAAATAGTTGGCTTTTTTTGATCAGTTGTGTGTGGTGTCCTGTAAGGCAAAGTCTTGTACAAATTGTGGTGTTTCTCATGTGTAACACTATTATTTTTCTTTGAGTCGTTGCTATTTTAAAACTCTACCTGATTATGGTGGCTTGTCACTTTTCAGTGGCTCTAACTTAGGAAAAAAGTGCTTAAATAATAAAATTCTTGATTTTTGTGTATAGTGCTGCTGCAAAGAAGGAGGATGATGATGCCCAACCAGTTAAAAAAACCTATACATGGAATACAAAGGAAGAAGCAAAGCAAGCATTTAAAGAACTGTTAAAAGAAAAGGTATTTCAGTCAACTCATCTTCATACTTTACAGAACTGCAAAAACTGCATTTGCCAGAAATTGGTAGACTTTTTTTGAGGGGGAAAAACCCACTACAATGAAAACAATACATGGTTTAAACTTTTTTTAATCTCTGTGTGTGAGTGGGGGAGTGTTGAATTTTCATCAGGGCTCTCAGTTCATTTTTTTTGTCTTATTTTCTTCCTTTTGTAAGGGATCCCCACAGTGTAATGCAAACTTGTAATCCAGTGCTTGTCCAAAATTCACACTGGAAGGGTTTGACAACCAGTGCAGAGGTCCATATGGAAAAAGGACAGACAACTGAAGTTTAATATGTGGTGTTTCCATAAGCTAATAGGATTTGAAGGCACATTTTTTTTTCCCCCTTATGAAGTCATAATTCTAAAGCTGTATTTAAATGTGGTTGAAATTATGGTTACCAATATTTTTGTTTGACAGTGAGGTACATTTCTAATAAAACTGCTACCTGACTGAGCCCTGAATTTTTTATCTGTTTTAGAGGTGGAGATGAAGTGGGAATAAAATGAGATTGGTTTATATTTTTCCCCTCAGTGTGTGAGATCTGTTTGTGCTTTGTCCAGTGAGTCAGCACAGTTGTGTATTAGACAGACTTTCTGAAGAATTTATAGTAGAGATGGCAATAATCTCCAGAATACCTTGTTTAATTTTCTGTATTGACTATTAATAAAATCTAAAAAGAAATCAGTGACAGAGAAAGTTTTCTTAACCTTGAAAGTGTGGTGCTTTTTTTTTTTTCTCCACCCTAAGGGCAGTTTTTTTTAAGGAATTGGTCATTATTGGATGTTGGTTCCATGTCTAATTAATTAATTATTGAATATATTTGCAGCGAGTACCATCCAATGCTTCTTGGGAGCAAGCTATGAAAATGATCATTAATGATCCCAGATACAGGTACTGCTTAATTCTTTTTTTTCCTTAAATTACTACACAAATACTGTTTCAGGGAGTTTAACTTCACTGATACAACTTTTGATTGTTTTAATAGATATTTGTGAACATATACCATTGTTGGGGAACTTTTTCCTGTGCAAAGAAGTGCAAGTCCTAGGCTTAATTTTTCATTTGGAGAAGATGTGGCAGTTGTTGGTTGTATTCTATGCTATTTATATTATCTTCTTGGGAATCCAGGTTGGATGAGGCTTTGAGCAACCTGGTCTAGTGGAAGGTGTCCCTGCTGATGGCAGGGGGGTTGGGACTGGATGAGCTTTAAGGTCCCTTCCAACCCAAACCAGTCTGGGATTCTATGATTTTATGAATAAAAGCACCAATTTATAGTGACAGAGCTGAAGACTTTCTAGGTTAGTTTTTGAAATGAGTGGCTGCTATAAACATTGGCAGAAAAGTGGTTGATATCTGTGGTAAAATTAGTATTGTAATGTGAAATGTGTAAATGCAACCTGAAAGCATGATACTAGCTTGTGTTTTATTAACTGCTTTTATTAGCAAGTACTTGTTTATTGCTTGTTTTAAAATGATCTTCTGTTAATCCTGATGGAGAAACAGGGTGATGGTTTTCCATGTAATTTTGTCTCAAATATCTGGGTTATTCTTATCTGTTATCTTTTGGTTCTTATGTTTTATTTTTCTAGTTTAATTCCCTTTCTTACAATTTACATTGTTGTTTCCTTTTTCTTTGATACGAAGTGCTCTGGCAAAATTAAGTGAAAAAAAGCAAGCCTTTAATGCTTACAAAGTTCAAACAGAAAAAGAAGAGAAGGAAGAAGCGAGATCAAAATACAAAGAAGCTAAAGAATCCTTCCAGCGTTTCCTTGAAAACCATGAAAAGATGACATCCACCACAAGATACAAGTAAGACCAATATTAAATGAAGTTCCAGCTTTTACTAATTGGCCAAATTAATCAAATCTTGCTGGCTTGTGCTTGGTGAGTGCTAACCTTTGTATGCCCTCAGCCTGGAAAAGCCTGTAACTGAAATCTTTATTAACACAAAAATAGTCTTATTTTCATAGAATGTATTTAGGACCCAGACAAAAAACAACTCTCATGAGTGATGTGCTGATGAAAAATAGGTTGAGCTGCTAATAAGTAGAAATGAAAGAGAACACTGAGAGGAGTTTTATATTACATGTGCCATTAAGAACAAAGCAGTTCTGATAGCTTGTTCGTGGCAGTTCACGCCCAATGGGAGGTATATCTCATGAGCTTGTGGTTGGAAATTTCACAGATCTGATTTTATGGGATGTTTGCTAGAACAGTGACCTGAACACGTGCTGGCCCTCAGATAAAAACACTAATGTAGTGCACTGCAGGTGAACTTGCACTTCTGTGGAGACATCATTGTGTGTAGTGGCATCAGCTTTAATTTTTAACTGTTTCCTGTGTTTCCAAGAGATAGAAAAATGTCACAGAAAAAGTTTGCCAAGAGAGAGAACTAGGGAGATGTCACACAAAAGCATTACTACTTATAACAGAGTTCATGAACGTTATTGTAGGCCAATGGGACAATTTAAGTCCATTTTCACCCATAAATGATTGTGTGCTTTTTCTTTGTTTGCACAGAAAAGCTGAACAAATGTTTGGGGAGATGGAAGTCTGGAATGCAATATCTGAGCGTGACCGTCTTGAGATTTATGAAGACGTCTTGTTTTTTCTGTCTAAGAAAGAGAAGGTAACTTTCTTTCAGACTTACCTTTTCACTCATTATCTGTTAATTAGTCTATACCTGTTAGTAAAGAAATGTTGCAAGCAGTGCAGCTCTGAGTGTTGTTCAGGGACAGTCAGAACACTCAGTTCTGAGTGGTGTTTTCAGGCAAATGAGAACATTGCTGCATTAAGTGTGGACCAGGTACTGCTTACAGGTTACAGATCAGTTCATGCTCTCTCCAAAGGGAGAGGGAGAGAGAAAAGAACAGAAGGGAGCCAAGGTTCATCAACTGAGACACTGTAGAGAGGGAGCTTTGGTTTAGCAAGATGTGATGGGGCCAGGGGACAAGAAAAAAAAACATTGGTGGAACTCTTTAAAGCTATGACTGATTTGGTAGATGTGAATTCGGAGACAGTTGTTTCTTATTTCTCATTATATATAAGTACATAAGGGGCATCAATAGAGTTAGCAGGCAGAAGGGGATGAATCCTTAACTAAACAAACTATTGGAAGTTCTGTTCCTGCACAGTACACAACTGAAGTTGTGGAACTTAACTGCTCCAGGGTAATACTTTGGAGAACAACCTTTCCTGAAAAGCTACCTGTCTGGAACTGGGCAAGCATGCTGGGAGTAGATTGATCTTGTTCTCTCTCCCTAGTTCATTGCAGTCTGCTGTGAAATCCTGATTTGACTCTCTGGCACATAAGCCAGCAGTTTCTTTGAAAGGTCTTTGTTTTTATTCAGACATATTGCTGCTATGTGTTTAATTTTTAGTATGATTTTAATCAATTATATGATGGCTCTTATTCTGAACTGCTCTGAATCAGACTGTGAAACTATCATGGGCTTGTCACAGAAAACTGTTTCCATTAACCTCAGTGCTGCCATACCAGCTGTGAGGATCTGTCCCTGACTGCATCTGGTCAGTTCATCTTCACTGCAGATAGATAGTGACACAAGGACTCACCAACATCCTTGGGTAGAGAGAAAACAGGCAATTAGAAACAAATTGTGTAGCAAGGCTGTTTCTGAAGTGGATTTAAGTGGCACAAGTGTTAAGGTCCACACCTGCTGGAAAAGCAAAACCAAGAGGAAGAGGCCAGTTTGGATAACAACAGTGCTTCAGAAATTGCCTGTGATCAGCACAGCTGGTTGAGATCTGCTTTTTCAACAGCACAGTGGGCTTTAGTAGCACTGCTGTTTACTGAATGCCCTGGCAGTTTCCTAGCAGGGTTTCTCAAAGGTGAGCACCATTTCCTGAGCTTTGCCCACCTATCAGATCTCAGTCAGAGAGAAGAGCACTGAAATGGTTCATCTGTCAGTGCAAGCAATCAATGGTATGTAAAAACTGTATGTGGGTCCAAATTGTATTGTGTTGCTTCACATGTAAATGAAAGGTTAATTTTGTCTTGGAGAACAAACTTGAGGGGTCATGTGTTTTTTGTCTATACAACCTCAAATTTAACAAAACCCCAAAAATGCACTTTCTCCACAGGAACAAGCCAAACAGTTACGAAAGAGGAACTGGGAGGCCTTGAAGAACATACTGGATAACATGGCTAACGTCACTTACTGTACTACATGGTCAGAGGCTCAGCAGTATCTGATGGACAATCCTACGTTTGCAGAAGATGAGGAACTTCAGAGTATGTAAAAAGCTCTCGTGTTTCTTTCGGGAGAGGAAATGGGTTTGTCGTTAGCAGTGAGGACTCCTGACTGGGTATGGCTTGTTCTTGCCCAGTCTGGAGCTGCTGTGACAGCTGCTGAGCAGCCTATATGAAGGACTTGTTTGGTTCCTAGGAAACCGACATCAACTTCAGAAATCATTACTAATTAATATTAAAAATAAAGCAAAGGATACCTTTTTCATGGGGATTGAATTGCCTTAGTAGTTGTTAGCCTTTGAAATTTGAAGTATTATTTGACAACATAATCTCTGTTGAAAATACACTATGTTCTGCTAGACTGAGTGAGATTCTGCTGCCTTTGCTTTCCTAGAAGAGAAGCTGGTTTCACACTTCCAGAGTAAGAAGGAAGATAGCTGTGGTAATGCCTGGAGATGCACAAGTGCTCGTAGGGCAGTGCTTTTCTCCTAAAGGCTTCTGTGCTCTGTATTGGCAATAACCATTGATCCAGGTTGGGGGAGGTTGGTTTTTGCTGTTGTGCACGTCTTCGTGTATTTTGGTGCTCAGTGGAGCTTCGACTCACACTAATGATTGGTCAACTGTTATCTTGTAGTAAGGAAATTTCTACTGTTAGTGGGAAGAAATACCTGTTCTCCTCCCCCTCTACTCTGCCCTGGTGAGGCCACATCTGGAATATTGTGTCCAGTTCTGGGCTCCACAGTTCAGGAAGGACAGGGAACTGCTGGAGAGAGTCCAGCACAGAGCCACCAAGATGATGAAGGGAGTGGAGCATCTCCCTGCTGAGGAAAGGCTGAGGGAGCTGGGGCTCTTTAGCTTGGAGAAGAGGAGACTGAGGGGTGACCTCATTAATGTTTATCAATATGTAAAGGGTGAATGTCAGGAGGATGGAGCCAGGCTCTTCTCAGTGATGCCCAATGGTAGGACAAGGGGCAATGGGTGTGAGCTGGAACACAGGAGGTTCTGCTTCAACTTGAGAAGAAACTTCTTTCCAGTGAGGGTGCCAGAGCCCTGGGACAGGCTGCCCAGGGAGGGTGTGGAGTCTCCTTCTCTGGAGACATTCAAGACCCGCCTGGACGCCTTCCTGTGTGATCTCATTGAGGTTCCTGCTCTGGCAGGGGGATTGGACTGGATGATCTTTCAAGGTCCCTTCCAATCCCTGACATCCTGTGATTCTGTGATTTTACTCTTAACCACTCTTGTTATCTCTTGCTAGACATGGACAAGGAGGATGCGCTGATCTGTTTTGAGGAACATATCAGGGCACTGGAAAAAGAGGAGGAAGAAGAAAAACAGAAAAGTTTGCTTAGAGAAAGAAGGCGGCAGCGTAAGAATAGAGAATCTTTTCAGGTCGGTGGACTTTCTTTTTCTCTCCTGGGTGTGTCATGTGATTAGATATTCTGTGCAGGTTTTTAATTTCTTAGGGTAGGCTAATGCATGTGTATAATGCATCAGTTATCAGCATCATGGCATTTTGCAAGCTGTGTAATACATCTGTTTGCCAGGAAGTTGCAAGAGTAGGGGAAAGTGAGAGGAAATGGATTTGAAGGGAAAGGAAATGCAACTGGGACGTTGTAAATGGTGCAGGAAGGCAGAAGGGAATGATGATGTAAAAAAAGACTTTTTTCAATCACATTTTAACAAAAATAGAATTCCAAGAGTATCTGTTCCAGTTGTTAAGTAAAAATATGATGAGTGACTACAAACTTCCATTTCACTTGTATTTTGTAGCTGTTTTTAGATGAACTGCACGAGCACGGGCAGTTACATTCGATGTCCTCTTGGATGGAGTTGTACCCAACCATAAGCTCTGACATCAGATTCACTAACATGCTTGGTCAGCCTGGTAAGAATCTTGTCTCTTCCAGTCTGGTAGAAAGTAAGGTAAAGGTCTTGGATTTGGGGCAGAATAGAGTAGGGTTATTTGTATATTTTCTAAATGTTTAAAAAAAATGCAGCTCTTTTATTAGAGCTAGCTTTTGACTTATCTAGTTTTTTCATCAGGATCAACAGCACTTGATCTTTTCAAGTTCTATGTTGAAGACTTGAAAGCACGTTACCATGATGAGAAGAAGATAATAAAGGATATTTTAAAGGTGAGAGGGGAAAATGCTCCATTATGGGGTTTCTTCTTTTAATGCCAAATATATCATTGAAATGAATGCTTTGCTACTGGGAGATGGGATTTCACATTGCATTAATGTCATGTGCACTAGCACTGACATGAGAGTTCCTGACGACCTACCTGATGCCAAAGGAGCAATTTTCTTACAGGATAAAGGATTTGTGGTTGAAGTGAATACTTCTTTTGAAGATTTTGTTACGGTCATCAGTTCAACTAAAAGAGCTACTACTTTAGATGCAGGAAATATCAAGCTGGCTTTCAACAGCGTAAGTATTAATATATAGGGATGTTTGAAACCTCGTGATATGAAATCTCTTGTAAAAGCAAGAATTGGCTCTTACTGTCACTGTATTGCTCTGATTACTCTTGTAATATTTGAGAGATGCTGTGCTCTATCCTGATATCAGTTCTGAAATTGCAGAGATACATCTTTATTCAAAACATAATCATTTAATCTTGAGAAAGTCTGCGGTGGGAATTAAGTAATATTCTCTCATTTACACCTAACTTTTCTCATGAGGGTCTTTTAGTGTGTGTGTGTGTTTCTGTAGTTCTGGCTTGCATGATGTATTAACTCTATTTTAGATTCAGTTTGAAGCACAGCAGTTGCACGCTTCAAAAAATAAGTAATTGCTTAATTTTCCTGTATGCCCAAGTGACTAATAAAAAACTCTAAAAAAAAAAACTGAACTGAAAAAAACTGAACTAAAAAAACTGAGAAAACTCTAAAACTGAACTGTCTTTGGGCTTCCAAAAATTGCATTAAACTGAAGCGCCAGTCGTCCGTTTTCCCACCTTTCAAATGATGTTATGACTTCTCTTTGATTCAGCTGCTAGAGAAGGCAGAAGCCCGTGAAAGAGAGAGGGAAAAAGAAGAAGCTCGCAAAATGAAGCGGAAAGAGTCTGCCTTCAAGAGTATGTTGAAGCAAGCTACTCCTCCAATCGAACTGGATGCTGTCTGGGAAGATGTATGTATCATCACTTTATTATGAAAGTCTTTCCAAATGTATTTCACAGGCTGCTGCATGCTGGTGCTGTTATAAGACAACCTGAGATCTCTAAGCTCTTAGTGTTTCTGTTTATATAACTTAGACCTATAAAATTTTTCCTGTCACTTCTTCAGGAAGATTCGAAATTTGTTGTGAATAACTTGATTCTGTTGAATACAATTTAAAACAAACCCCTAAAAAACCCCCCCTAAATCCAAACAACCAACCAAAAAGCACCACCACCACCACCCCCCCCAAGAAAAAACCAACCCAAAATCACACAAAGCCCCCAAACTTAATTTAAATGGAGATAAAGCACTCTGCTTAGTTAAAAGCCTGTAACTTTGTTCTGGTGAAGAAAACCTTTAAAAAAACCTTTCCTCTCAAAGTACATGTTGTATAAAAATGCATGTTTTTAACAAGCTTGCCTGGCTTAAATGGCATCAGACACAGGAAAAACCAGTCTGATTCTGCATGCTTCCTTCCATCTGTTACAGTTTTAGTGAAGGCTGTTTTGGTTGTGAAGCTGGCATAAAAAAGGTTGAGCCTTCTAACAGCACAGTGGCTTTTTCATCTGTTGAAATCATGTCTTTTTATTATTGTTCTTAATTCTGAATGGCTGTATTTCATATTAGTGTTTCCTCGCTGTTTTTCTTACAGATCAGAGATAGGTTTGTGAAGGAACCCGCATTTGAAGACATCACTCTGGAGTCTGAAAGAAAAAGAATATTTAAAGATTTCATGCATGTACTAGAGGTAATTAGGACTTTTTTTTTTTCCTTCATTAGAGAATATACAAAAAAAAAAATTCTTAGTTAATTGGCTCTTAAATTGTGTGGAAAGGAAGAGAGATTTAACAGAGTTCTGCTGATCTCTGTTACAGTGGACATTGTGCATTACCTAAAAGTAAGGGATGTTAAAACCTCATCTTGAAAGTGAAGGAAACTAAGACACACTTTACAGTTATTTGATATTATTTAATACACAATTGTTCTTTTAATCTGCCTCCCCACAATAATTTTTGGAAGTTAACATCAAAATTTCCTGGTTTACTGTAGAAAAACTGTTTATTGCTGTGATTTCATATAAAACGTGGTGAAATTGCAAATAGAACTCCAGTATTTTATTCACCACAGATCTGGGACTTTGGAAGTTCAAGAGCATACTAAGCTCTGCAGATAGACTTTTGTTTTTTTACTGCAGCCAGTTTTTGCTTATGTGCAAGAGGGATGTTTAATTAATGTCTAGTTTAATTCTTAATTTTTGGTTGGGCTGCAGTAAGAGTTAAGCTGCAGAAGTTTGGACAAGTCATTCTTGTTGAATAAGGTGCTGGTTTTTCCTCGATAATGCGAGGTTTGATTTTGCAGCACGTGCTCTTTGGGGTTTTTAGTTTCACTTTCTGGAGTTCATAAGAGTTTTTCAAATGACCTAATTTCAGATTTGTCAGAGCAAGGTATGTGGTATATTCTAGGCCATCTTGAGCAGGGCATTTAAATGGGAAGCGTTGAAACAGAGATCTGGGTAACAAGCTTTTTGTATCCATGCCTGAAGCTGTTTCCTTGCTCCTAGGTGCCTGTTATTCCAACTTTAGAACATAAACTGGTAGCTGTTTATGGTTCTTGACACCATAAATGAGTGATTATTGATTTTTTTTAGCCACTGCTAACCTTTTTGGATGATGAGAAACATCAGTCCAGTTTCTTGCTGTGTCCTAGAGACAGATTATCATAGAATCATAGAATGGTTTGGGTGGGAAGGGACCTTAAAGCTCATCCAGTCCCAACCCCCCTGCCAGCAGCAGGGACACCTTCCACTAGACCAGGTTGCTCAAAGCCTCATCCAGCCTGGCCTTCAACATTATTATAACATTTAACATTAAATTATAACATTTTCCTTCTCTTGTACTCCAGCACGAGTGTCAGCATCATCATTCGAAGAACAAGAAGCATTCTAAGAAGTCTAAAAAACATCACAGGAAGCGATCGCGTTCTCGTTCGGTAAGGTGTTTCATGAGGTCCTTAAAATCCCCTTCTGTCATTATTCATAATGCTGTCGTCTTGCTAATCACGTTGGGTTTGTATTTCAAGGGCTCAGAGTCTGAGGATGACGATAGCCACTCCAAGAAGAAAAGGCAGCGTTCGGAATCTAGATCAGTTTCTGAGCGTTCCTCCAGTGCAGAATCGGGTAGGAGATTTTGTTTGTTTGTTTTTAAATCAGTGTTTACTGTTTTATTCCTGGGTCTTTATAATTTTATTGATGTGTTTTTGTTTCTTCCTACCTCTGCAGAGAGAAGTTACAAGAAATCAAAAAAACACAAGAAAAAGAGCAAGAAGAGAAGACACAAGTCTGTAAGTGCAGTTCACTTTTTGAGTTGGCTCATGGGCACCTCGACACTTTATGGTTTCAATAATCCTTTTTAGCTGTCTGTAGTCATCCAGCTGCCTTTGTTATAGGGAGTGTGTGAGATCAGACTGGAAGAGGGTACTGGTACCATAGGAACTTCGTGTTAGATAAATACCTTACTATTAAGCCATTTCACACTGCTAAATGTGGGGGTTTTAACTGCAACTACACAAGCAGATGTAAAGGGCTGTACTGGCTGGCAGCCTGGCATTTGCCATTTATCATGGTAAATCTTGGTGTTTTATTGTGGAGAGCTGGGAAGAATCCCAGCCTTTTCCTTTTACCTTATGCTGAGCATCATTCCTTTTGTCTGCTTGAGTGTCAGGGCTGTGTTAGGAGCTCTGATAATTAAATATATCAGAGCATCAAAAGGACCTAAAGAGCAGAAAAAAAGCTTTCAGTCTATATGAATTGAGGCCAAAGTTTTTTTTTTGGTTTTTTGTTTTTCGTTGGCCTGGGTAAAGAAAGAAGTTTGGGTCTCTGAACTCACACTGGCTGTAAAACTCATCAAAACAGAGGTATCTGAAATTTCTGAGCACTTAGCTGTGCCCTTCAGCGAACGGTGTTCACAAGGAGGGAGGATATTAATTGTTATCCATTGAGTAAGATGGGCAATTAAGCCACTGAGATTAGAAGGGCAAGGGAGCTGGGGAAGGGTCTGG